TCAAAATAAGAGAAAGCGTTCTTTTCAACTGCCTCGTGTAAAATCCTTTCCGTTTCAAGCAGGGAAAAAAGTCACAACTAAAGTATTTTTCAGGCACACTAGCTCTTATGGTTTTGTGCTCTTCAAACTATGGTACAGTTGCTGATTATCCAACTGCTGAAGTACTTCTGTATTCTTATGTAGGTGAATGCCATTCTTCGTGCTTCTTTGCGTACATTTTGATTTTTTACTTAACCGTTGGAATGTTTAAAATTTGTAATCATTATTCCTTACATACCATGAGACATTTATTTTAACTTCATTTTGAACTCTCTGCATCAGTTGGGTTGGGTGTTCTATCTCATTGAATGCTAAATTATGAAACTTTTAGGTAATTTTTCTCGAAAATTTTCTTATGTAACTAGCATATATTAGTTTTGTTGTACTAAATTCAGAAAAAATCCTCTTTAATATTCCGTAATAAAGATGAGGTGATTGCTATTTAAAGAAAATGTCGAAGTCATAACTTGTTTAAAAATAGCGGTAAAAATTTAAAATCTATACCAAAAAATTGCAAAAAAATTAAATCTTTAGACGATTTTTCCATAAACTGTTTTAACGAATTTATCCGTTACTTGTGGAAAGTACTGTTTAATCTAAATTACATGCTCATATCTTCCCATAACATTAACCTCCAACCTTATCTTGGTGTCAAGCGTCATGCCTAAAAATGTTCTGTTGTTTTCATTGTTGGGTTAAGTAGTCTGTTACATTTGGTGTCACTACGAGCAATGTACTGTGTGTATCGTCTTCAAACGTAGCCAGTTGTATCTACTGCAATTCTGGTGTATCGCTAGTATACAAGATAAAAAAGTAGAATCCCAAGACACTTTCCGAAGGTACTCTTCTCGTCTTAGGTTCTCTTGGTTAACCTTAAAAAGTCTATTGGTTATGTACGAACTCAAGATTTCTACATATTGTTTTAGCACGATCTTATTCAACTTATAAACCAGACCTTCGTGTCAGACTTTATCAAACGCTTTTTGCTACATTTATGTATGTTTTGAAATAGCTTGGAAACTATTGGAAGGAGTGATATAGGTGTATATGATTTGACATCATACGGTGGATTTATTTGACTTAGGTAGCATGATTTTTGAATCGCGCTTTGTGTTTTAGTAAAGGATTATCAGATAAATTGTTTAATGCCGATCGAGAATATCGATGGCTCTCTATCGTTAACTGTTACCAATGTAGTAATCTTGTAACAGCAAAAATACAAGCCGAGGTCACTTGGGGCCGAGAAGCTGCTTCGAGGGGTATTTATTTTTAGCTGTTACCGTTGCAACAACCTGTTGTACGAAGAATATAAGTCGAGGTCGCTTGCGGGTGAGGTGTTATTTTTATTACGGTTTGTGTTTAAGGGCAACCATTGTAGAGTCTCGACTGTGAGCGAAATCAGCTAAAATATTTATTAACTTGATAATAAATATCCAGAAGTAATAAACTCAGAAATACTCAGCTTGTATGTCTAATTCCTCAGTAGTTCTACCAACCTTTAGATCAATTTCTTTTTGTAGTTCAATTCTAAAATTTTCCTAGTCCATAATTTTGTTTATCAAAGTTGGTTTAGCTTGTTTTTAATAATTCTTTCACTCAGTGTTAAGACAGCTGCTGAATGTTCTGAATCCAAGTAAAAAATTTCTAGTTTCCATAATATAGATCGCAATTTTTCCTGAGATGAAGAAGTCTAGTAGAACCGAGATCTTATATCTATCGCTGGGCCAACCTGTGGAATTGAAATTTCCTCCCATCTCTCCTTCATTTCTTTTTCTTTGGCATTGAAATCACCCATTATAAATCTTTCACCTATATGGTATAAGAGTCTTTTGTCAGTATTTTTTCAAATTGTATTTTTTTATGCCTTTTCTCTAATGACGTGCTATACCAGTCAGTTTCAATAATGTCAGTGAGTGAATTTGGTATTCTGCCTAGCGCAATATGAAGGAAGAGTCAAATACTAAACTTAACTTTACTGTTCTAACGATATGTATGTGTGGTAGGCAAAAATGACAGGTAATCTTTTGCATTAATTCTGCAAAAACTGAACATTAATACTTTTATATGTAAGATACAATAAATAGAAAGAAGCATCTAATGAATATAATATCCGAACATGTGAGAATTATATTTTCAGATAACAATAATACGTTTTATCTTAATAAAAACTAATCATTTTCAAGCTGCACTAATTCACTCTGAATATTCTGCGATACCTCATCCCTCAATATCGTTCCTGGCATCCCTCAACATCGTCACTGATATCGCTTCGTAACCACAATAACTAATTTTAATATTGATATTTAAGGAAATCTGATGTAAAGTCTCTCAGCATCGTTCCCGACATCTATCCGTATCGTTCAAGACCTCTTTCAATATCATTCATAACCTCGCTCTAGATTACTCTTTACCACAATCAATATCATCCTAGGCGTCCTTCAATATCAAACCAAACCACTATTACTTCTATATTGATAATTCTTAAGATAATTCCTGGCTTTCCTAAATATCATATCAGATATTAGCATCGACACCATACAGCATGAACCCCTTACATAGCGGCCCTTACACGATCGATAATATTGACAATATCTTAGCATATTGACAATAATATTGACCGTGTAAGTTGAAAAATTTTATTGACGGTAAATATTGATGGAGTATTGATAAAAATCGGGATTTTCTGATTTTAGGGCATCAATACCGAAAATTGGAGGAAATATTGACAATACTATTGAGCGTGTAGGGTTGGCGCTAATATTTCCATCAATACTCAGTGTAGTAAGCTCAACATTCAAAATTAAATACTTTCATTTCATTGTAACAATACTAATATAACATGTTTATCAACACACTGAAAAAACATATTTTATTTTAACCCAGATGATTTGAAAACAGGTTTAATTCTTATTTTCTAGATTACACTCACAATCGTTCAGTTAAAGCCGCGCGCCTGTGAAGAACTGGTGAAGTTGACCGACACATTAACTGACGTTGTTGATGTTCAACACGATGGAGATACTGTTGGTTCAAGTCTTGTAGAACATATATCTATAAAGGTTTCACAGGTTTCTATTACAGCTTTGCTGATAGTTACTGGGAACATTATGACAGAAAACTTCAAGTCTTCAAAATTTCTTCCTGTGGCCAAGTACCTCAGTGTTAAGGCTAATCTTTTCCTAACATTTGTACTTTCTCTCATAATGCTATCCTGTCTTTTCAAAAATGGTTCAAACATCTGTAACAATTTATAAAAGGTATTTTCATCCATTCGAATGTAGTTCTTCAAATCATCAACATCGCAGATTCCGATTACTTTCAACAGTACTAGATGAGAATATTCATGTCTCTTCCTAAACCATTGTTTCATCCGGTGTTTGCTTTTCACTCGACGAGTAGTTCCAAGCGCCAAAATAATACCCACAAAAGTTTTTGTGCGATTATGCATATTAGAAAGGGAAAAACTGGCAAATAACCGAGTAAAACTACGTAGATTCACACTATTCGTTGTAAAAGGTAACTTATTGAGCAAACTTATTGACAAAAGTATTGACAATAATATTGATCGTGTAAGGTAGTGAAGTATTGAGACTGGTTACCACGAGGATTGATGGTTGTATTATCAATACTGATATTGTCAATTCTATTGATCGTGTAAGGGCCGCTTATCAAAATCGGTGTGTCAATATATGTACATTGAATAAAAACATAAACAAATAGAAAATTTATCGAAAAGACAAAGATGTAAAAATTAATACAAAATTATTAAAAAAAAACATTATCCCTCTACGTTCACCAGAGGTCGCCTGAGGCCGAAGAGCTGTAATTAAAATCACATTGCTAAAATATTAAGCACCATATTTAGCCCCGCTTGTGGCCGAGGCGATATAGTTGATGTCACATCTATACAACATCAGCAATCATGTAATGTGTAGGAATTGAAAAAGAACTTGATTGTTTCGTACACAATAAATAAATTGTTGTGACGCAAAAACTTTATATCATCAATGTTTATCAACCTACGAAAAAATAGTGTTCCAAGAAATCAGGTTGATGCAAAGTATTAGAAAGAAGAATTCAACATTACTAGAAAATAGAAATTCTTAGAGTTCGAAGACAAATCTTCTTTTGAAGAAAGTTCCGTAAATTGTGCTTTCAGAGAACCGTTATCTTTATTGAATTATTGTCGAGCTAAGAAAGTAAAAAAAAATTGTAACGTTATTATCAATAATGCATACACTTCCTGGTATGTATTGACAAAACAGTAATTCTTCTTCAAATAATCGATTTCTATAACAAAACCAAGAATGTACAGGCTACTAAACATAATTGGATAAACACAATTGCATTAAATGACATTCAAAAGACAAAGTTACATAATAAATTCATTTCTTCAACGATAATTCAAAAATTAAATAAACCTAAAAATAAAATATTAATAATATATATCGGTTGTTTTTTGGCTCAAATTAAAAGGTTTTCAACCGAAATTGCATCATTAACGTACAGGTTATATCATAAAAAGTTAAAGAAGACGTTTTAAACGTTCAGTTAAGATAACCGTTTTTAAATATCCATGAAATGGAAGCGGTTTTTTAAAGGTAAATTTTGAATTTGTGTTTCTCCGAAATTATATCATTAAGATGTAGGCTATGTTACATTGTCTTAATGAGGGCGTTTTAAGCTTCCATTTAATTATTATCTTTAAGGAACGATTTATATATAATTTCTTAATTTCAGAACATAAACTTTGAGAAACGGAATTAACTTAAATCCCGTTTAATTAATTATTCTTTCCTGAAGATGCGTTAAAAATTGAAACCGGTATTGTATGTTTCTAGAAACATCGATTTAGCAATTTGTAAGTCAAATTTCAGTAACTAAAAAACTATATTTATTATAAAACATAAATGAAATTCGAAATTGTAAATGCATAGATTAAATGTATTTAATTAACTTACCATGCCATTGTCGATTCCTCCGTATGGCGGTTGAAACCCCGGTTTCTCTGTAACAAAAAATAAAACAGTGTCAACTACGAGAGGTTGGACTACGCCCCCATTCTGACAAAACGTCGCGACGCCACATGTCATCCTACCGCCTCTCAGTCTACAACAAAACAATTTCGGAACCGCCACAAAATCGAAATCACATTCATACGACGTGAATGTAATTACACCGTCGCTGCGACGATATCGGGGTCAATTTAGGTGTTAAAACGTGGACCGTCTTCAGGGGTGAAGTAGCCCGCATGCCCCTTGTCCAAACCAGGACGTCTGCTTTGCTTTATCCTCGGCTTCGTTAGACATGTCCTTAACAATTAACTATTAACGTCCGAGTACGTTTCGACTTCTGGATGGCCGGGTACAGTGAATAGTTTTATCTTTAGCTTTGCCGTTGTCGTTTGCCAAATCACTAAATTATAATTTGAAATGTGTGTGAAAAATTAATATTGATATTGCTAAGTTCTTGGAAATTTAAATTATACGGCCATCATAGATATTGTATATATGGCGCGGCGTACATAATTTACAGACAAATTGGTCCTCTATACGTGGCGAACCTCGTTAGATTAACCTAAATACGGGACAATTAATTGTGAACTAATGATTTATTTATGTCCGCGCGATACGCACTCGAATCGACCGTCGGCCATCGATCTCCATTGTGCAATTACAATGGCGAAACTCGAGGCAATTTTCGCAATTACGGTGACCGTAATTCGGTTCCGATTCGGCATTGCGCCCTAATATTTAACTAATTGATAGTATACCGACGAAACGAAGATTGTCGTTAATCGCCGCGAACGTTCTTCTATGTCACGAAAAGATCCCTCCAAAAAGAAAATGAATATCCATCCAGTCACGCTACATGAAAATAATAACTTTCAACATACAACGGTGACACTAGTATTTTTAGATCTTAAATTAATAGGTAGTTTCTTTTTTTTGACTTAACTTTTAATTGATAGGGACTTTCATGGAAAAAAAACTTTTTTTACTTTACTTTTAGTAATATTAGTTCTTTAATGATAATAATTAATATTATTAATCACCAAAACGTTAATTACTAGAATTTTTAAGGCAGACATTATTTTTGCACTATAAAATCGTTTTATTCTTAGGATTAATACTAGATATACCCAAATGAGCAATGACGTTAATCTCGACGAATCCCTAAATGCAGAATTTATTACTTTTATGGTAATTGGACGATAATGGAAGGTTGGATTACAAATCTTTACTACTAGTATTTCAGTATGCGCATGGATTTACCAAACGTAACCAGTTAGGATTTAAGCTAGGCCTTATTAAATCCTACTCCGCAAAATTAAAATATTTTTGAATTACATGTTGCTACAAATATCCATTCTTCAGTCGTTTAGACTCTAATCATACGAAATCATCCGTGTGTCTCCATTATCTCCAACATTAACATCTTCAGATATGCCAGAAGAAACCTCGGACTGAGTGGCAACTACATTTCGATTCAGTTCGAAGTGCAGTGAAAGAGTTATGCATTTTAATGTGCTAGCCAAACAGTTAAATGTTCACGATGTTAGTGTATGGCACTCAAATTGACTAATTGTAAGATCAGTTTGAACTTAAGATGGCATAGACAAACATATTAGACTAAATTAACACATACTTAAATTGCGAACAAGGTTGGGTTGAAACCGTTTTGAAATCATTTTAAGATGAGATCACTTGATGCAAAAAATCTGATCAGGCTGAAACACTCTTGGATTGCTCATGAGGTTAGATCGTGACGCTCCTGATTTAACTTTCAGAATAACAGGCTTAATTCGATGTTATTTAATTGATCATGATGGACCTTCTCATTCTTGGAATAAAGATTTATGCAAAACAATATAATCGGGTTGATGCACTCACAGATTAGTTATGATGTTCGATTAGGACATCATTAAAACATGGAAGTGAGTTAGTACTGAAATTCGTTGAGGATTCGCTTTGGACATTTAATGTCATACATACCCTTTGAAAAATTTAGTTCCAGGTGAGATTTCATGCAAAAAGATGTGTTCGGGGTAAGGTATTCTTGAATTATTTGTTAGCTTGGATTTAGATACATTTGGATTGAAAATAAACTTGAGTTGAGACTTTCTTGGAATTTGGACATTCTTGAATTGATTATGAGGTTTTAGTGACATTTTTGTACTAAAGGTGAGGTTTAGTTTATGTATTATGACAGTATTACCGATATTAAAGTAGGTAACTTGAACTTCAATAGCTGAAGTATCAAGCATATCGGGTCAAAATCTATGTAACAAAGCAATCTTTTGACATCATTTGACGTTGTGGTCATTTAACATCAGAAGTTGAAACCAAACGCAAGAAATGCAACGAAATCCAATGTTTCCTCATCTTATATAGACGTGCTTTTATGCAATATCTGGAAATTAAATATGTATACCAAAAGAGTTCACAGAAGCGATACTATTCATGAAATTATAATTCGCCAAATAGTCAAATCAATGTATCAAATATTTTAGTTAATAAAGCCGTATGTAAAACATGTAGCTCTGTTATCAATAAATTTGCTTCTCCAGCAACGCTCAGATCATATTATGAATCTATTGGCTATTAACAACAAAAAGGCAAGGTGTTTAATGAAATAACCATCAAAGATCTTCCTGTTTATTAGAGGATCAATAAGAAAGACTGGATTACTGCTGCAATGTTTAATGAATGTTTTATCACAGATGTCAAAACGAAAAGGGTCATCTACAATATCTACAGTAGGAGAATGTCCAAGTTATATTTTTACGAAAAAATTACTGTCATCTTTTTCTTATTTTACGATATCTCTCTTGATTCTTAATTATTCATCCGGTGCTGGGAAATTGAGCTCTAGCATTCATACCATCATATAGCACACCTGGGGATCTGTTTCTTCTTAGGAGTCCATCCATCACTATCTTTGGTAATCTAGAGGCTCCATATGTTCAACATGGTGTCTCCATTCCTGTCTTTTTTTACAGGCTCATTTGACAATATCCTGAAAAACGCATATCTTTCTAATATCTTGACTTCTTTTATGCTCCCACAAAATTTTTACCTTGTTAATGACCTTAGCGACTTCATCTTCGCTGTTCTGAGGATTCTTTTTGTGGTAGCATTTTTTGTACTTGTCTCGGTATGTCATAACCGGCTTACACAAGTCTTATATGTATAATGACTTCCATAAAAATTACAACACCTAGAATTTATTGAACGATTTTATTGAAATTTTCATCAACGATGTCTTTCATTGGAACAAATAAACGATTAAAATTTGAAAACAAAAGCTATAAATCTATAGCTGCCTGTGGTATATCAACCCAAGCTTCTTGAATCCGTAGCCGGAGATCGTGTAAGTTATATGGAGGGTGTGGGAAATTACCCAGTCGCCTACTGATCTCATCCCATACATGTTCAATGGGCGACAAATTAGGTGACCGAACAGGCCATGGGAGGACGGCAATGTTAGCTTCTTTCAAAAAACGTGTTGTAGCCCTTGCCGTATGAGGGTGTGCATTATCCCATTGGAAAATGGCTGACTCCTTGTGCGTTCCACAAAAAATGTTGGATATTTATATTCTCCACGCATCCGTCTGACCCTCCTACGACCATCATGGGCCCACAAGCAAAATCGGGACTCGTCACTAAACACAATTCGATGCCATTCCTGCGCCCAATTCGCTCTTCTGTTGCTCCATCCTAGCCTGCGTAGACGGCGAAGTGGTGTAAGAGGAAGACATAAAAATGGACGATATGAACGCAACCCATAAGACCTTATCCGGCGATAAACAGATGATATTAACATTCTGGGTCTTACACCTCTCATCCAATCATTTGCAATCAATCGAGTTGTTGAAAATCTGTCTCTTTTGGCCAAAAGTCTTAAGCGACGTTCATTTGAACCAACATCTTAATACCATTGTAACATTTTACACGACGAACAATTTCTCTTATGGAGGCCATACACCATAGGGTTTACATGATGGTTTTAGCCTTACATGCATAACTGACAGGCAAACCCTAGCGTGTATGTGATAAAACTGTACACTTGTCGGCGCATGTACATGCAACCAAGCAAACATCAAAATTGATATTTTCTGCCGCTCAGTTACGTTTGCGCGCATACATAACAAGTGTGTGGAGTCCGGCGAGCTTGCATGTTCTCAGACTTCTCAGTTTGTTCTCAGTTCTCAGTGGTTCTCAATTTATTGTCTGCGACGGTGGAAGGTCGTGCGCACACACCATCGCACTCGTATGACACTTTAACACACACGTATGTTCTTCCGGTAGCAAGAAATCTTAATGTTGCTGCTAGTCTCTCATGTGCTGATATTGCATTTCTCATAACAGTATCTTGTCTTTGGATTAACGGAGTGATCAATGATAACAGTTTCAAACAAAGATTTTTATCCATTCCTAAATAATTTTTGTAATCTGTTCAATTCATTTGACAAATTTACGTGAGAGAACCGCTTTCTTTTTAATAACCAGCGTTTACACCATTCCGAATGAGCTCTTCTTTTTTTTTCTATTTTGTAGAATAAGTGTTAAACTAAGTACAGCTATCAGATCCTCGTCGTCCATTGCTAGTTTGGTATACCGTGCACATTAGTGTATATAACTGTCCTACACATACCGTCACGTAGCTCCAACTGTCTTTAACTGAGAGTTTATGGCAAAACTGTGCATGCAAACCCTAACGTGTATGTGTATAACGTGTACAATATGAAACTCGGTTATACCTGTCGGTTATACATGCAAGGCTAAAACCATCATGCAAACCCTAAGTCCGGCCTCTTTCATGCCAATAATACGGCCACGTTCAAAATCAGTGAATTGGGAAAAATGTTGATGTTGATGTACTTTTGACATTGTTTCCAAGTTCAGAACGAGTTAATTACACAATGATTTGTTTATTTCTTCAAATTTATTGTTACTAAGTGCAAAGAAAAATACCAAACTACTAGCTAGATTTTATTCAAATTTT